CTTCTTCCTACTCCATTCAAGCATGTACTAGGTATAAGCACATTGATATTGGATTAGCATTTGTTCGATATGTGTAAAATTATGTGTATTGATATATCAACTGTCTTTACATGCTTGAAAGAATAAATAAATCAAATCAAATCACTGAAAAATTTTCCACATTCAAATGAATGGGGAAATTTAACTTCAGCATACTTTCAGCTTTGTCAGGTATCAAATTGTTCAACTCCTCAAGGACATTCATGCTTCTATTCAGAATTTTTAAAACTTCATACTTTTAAAATATTTACTTTATTTTGAAACTTTTGCACCATTCAAATGAATGTGGAAATTCTGCTTCATACTTTCAAGTATTTCACGTATCAAAATACTCAGAATACTTTCAGCTTTCAAAATGTTCAGCTCTTCAAGGACATTCATGCTTCTATTCAGAACCTTTCTAAACTCCATATTTCTCCAATATGTACCTTTATTGTGAAAGTTTTGCACCATTCAAAAGAATGGGGAAATTCTACTTCAGCATACTTTCAGCTAGCAAAACCATTCAGGTGTCAAAGTCTTCAGCATATTCAGGGCGATCTTTCAGCAATTCGCATCCACACGCATTTTTGACAGGAAATGCAGTTTTCTAGTTATTATTCTGGTTTCTTCTGTACGTTTTTCGGCACTTAACTAGTTCAGCATACTTTCACCTAGAAAAGCCATTCAGATATCAACATGTTCATCTCTTCAAGGACATTTATGCTTCTATTCAGAATTTTTCTAAACTTCATACTTTTAAAATATTTAGCTTTATTCTGAAAATCTTGACCCATTCAAATGAATGGGAAACTTCTACTTCAGCATACTTTCAGCTATTTCAGGTATCAACATGTTCAGCTCTTCAAGGACATTCATGCTTTTCTTCAAACATTTTCCAAAATTCATACTTTTAAAATATTTAGCTTTATTTTAAAAACCATGATCCATTCAAATGAATGGGAAAATTCTACTTCAGTATAATTTCAGGTTTTTCAGCTATCAAAATGTTCAGCTCTTCATGGACAATCATGCCTCTATTCAGAATTTTTCTAAACTTCATACTTTTAAAATATTTAGTTTTATTTTGAAAATCTTAACCCATTGAAATGAATGGGAAAATTCTATTTCAGCATAATTTCAGCTATCAAAATGTTCAGCTCTTCAAGGACTTTCATGGCTTCTCCAGGATTTTTATAAATTTCATACTTTTAAAAATATTTAGTTTTATTTTGAAAGTCTTGCCCCTTTCAAATAAATGGGAAAATTCTACTTCACCATAATTTCAGCTATCAAAATGTTCAGTTCTTCAAGGACATTCATATTATTATTTAGAAGTTTTCTAAACTTTATACATTTTAAATATTTAGCTTTATTTTGAAAATCTTGCCCCTTTCAAATTAATGGGAAATTCTACTTCAGAGTACTTTCAGCTATCAAAATGTTCAGCTCTTAAAGGATATTCATGCTTCTATTCAGAGGTTTTCTAAACTTTATACTTTTGAAATATTTAGCTTTATTTTGAAAATCTTACCCCATTCAAATAAATGGGAAAATTCTACTTCAGCATACTTTCAGCAATTTCAGGTATCAAAATGTTCAACTCTTCAAGGACATTCATGCTTCTCTTCAGAATTTTTTGAAGTTTAATACTTTTGAAATATTTAGCTTTATTTTGAAAATTTTGCCCCATTCAAATGAATGGAGAAATTGTAATTCTGCATACTTTCAGCTAGCAAAACCATTCAGGTGTCAAAATGTTCAACATTTTCAGGGCGATCTTTCAGCACTCAGCATCCATACGCATTTTCTTCAGAAAATGCAATTTTCTACTTAATATTATTATTATTATTATTTCGTACGTTTTTTGGCACTTAACTACTTCAGCATACTTTCAGCTAGAAAAGCCATTCAGGTATCAAAATGTTTGGCTTTTTCAGGACATGCGCGGATGTATACAACTTTTTTGTAACTTTTATACTTTTTAAAATATTCAGCTTTATTCTGAAAATTTTTC